TTACAGAAAATCTTTCTATACAACTTTTGTAGGGTTTCAAGAGATCTATCGCGGAAAAAAAGTTTCAATCCGAAATGTCCATTATTAAGATTACTACGAATTTTCGAGAATTCGAGAATTCCGTTTTACGAAATTCTGACCGTTTTACTAAATTTCTTCGACCCTCATACGAAACGATACTTATCGAGCGTCGAAGTTGCAGCGACGGAAGGGCTCTCCCCCGTTCCATTTTTGCCACGGCCGATGTTCTCGGTATTTTAGGCCACGAATCGATGGGGGAGCTCGTGAATTTCCTCCTACGCGGCGTTCGACACTTTCGCCAATGTGTTTGCGAGGCGTTTATCACCCGATCGAACGGACCTTCGTAATTGCTGTTGAGTCTACTCATCGTGGTTATGTGGTATTCTTCCCTTCCATTCTTCGCCTCTTCCAAGAATTCCAACGTAGCGACGAGTTACATTTTAAACCGACGTCTCAATAAAAGTCTACAAAAAAAAAAAAAAAAAAAAAGGAAAGAAAAACATCCAAAAACACAATTCAACGCGTATAATTTAATATCGTGTTTTAAAAATACTGCACCATTTTGGAAATGTCTACGCGTTGCTTGAAATATATTTTTTCCGAAATACTTGCTAAAAATTCAACGTATCGCGTTGTTATAATGCTTCGATGCTTCTATTTCGAATTTTCCTGTTAATAGACGACAATGATTAGGCCACAGGTTCGTGCCTGTCCCGAGAAGCTGGAAAACGAGTAGCGCGATAGCTGAAACGATCACGTCCCCACGCATCTGCTAAAGAGACCCAAGGAAGTACCTGACCATCCTCGAAGACCAAGAATCCGCGAAAAAGCATTTAAATAACCTGTTGCACCGAGCATCAAAGGATTAAAAAAGAAGGAAATATTCGAGAAAAGTGCCCCCAGAAACCGTCGGTAATCGATAGACTCCCCAAAACGACTCGTGTACCACCTGGCCCCCCATTGACCAATGCCCCCCTCGATGTTTCTCGACGCACGGCTCCATCCGCGTCCATAGATCGGTTTCGCGTACGGATCCCGAAGGGACGTCTCGTGAATCGAGCCTCAAAAATTGATTCCACGGCGTCGTCCCCCGTGGTCTCGAGAGGCGCGACGCGAGAAAAAGAGCGCCGACGGGGCCGCGGCGCGTGTGCGCAGTCCCGCCGTCCAAGATGTCCGCCTGGGCGCCCTCCAGGTAGTCGTGGTTATGCGGCGCGGTGCGTTGCACACCGTGGTCAGGCCAATCCTCGGTTTCCGTGGTGCGTTGGTTCGCGCGACGCGAGACTGGCATCGGTCGCGAGCTGAGGTCGACCGCCGCGGGAAAATCGCTCGGGTTCTCGCGTTCGACCGTGTTCCCGAGGTACGGTCCGTGTTCGTCCAGCTCCGGAGAGAGCGGAGAGTGCTCGCGCGAGTGCTGAATCTCGGGGAGAGCCGGGGAGAAACAGGGGAGAGCCAGGTGGAGCCAGGGAGAGCCAGGGAGAGACGGGCCCGGGTTTAGCGATTCCAGGAGGCTGTAGACAAGTTGGTGGCGCGAGGAAAGGACACGAGGGACAGGGAAAGTGGTTGTTGGTGTCCGAAACGACCACAGGAACGGTGTTCTGGATAGGGTCAAAGGACAGTCTGTGGAACGGGCGAGTACAGGGACCGAGGAAAGTGGTTGTTGGAGTGGAACCGAGCATTGCACAGGCCTTTGGATAGACTTCTCGTGTGACGGGGACAAAGAGGGACGTGGAGAGTGCGAGAACGAGTGCGGAATCTCGGGGAGAGCCAGGTGGAGCCGGGGAGAGCCAGGTGGAGCCAGGGAGAGCTAGGGAGAGACGGGTCCGTGTTTAATCGTTCCACGAGCCTGTTGACGCACCGGTAGAGTGACGGACGAGCACGGAGACGGAGTACTCGTTGGAATATTAAGTATTGGGGAGGTTTCGGTTCGATTCATCGTGTTCGAAGGTTCCACGAGGTTGTGGACGGACCGGCGGCACGGACGGACACAGGGACAGGGACAGTGCTCGCGCGAGTGCACCCTCACAGGGAGAGACCGGTGGAACGGAGTAAGGGCGGAGAAGAAGCGCGATAGAGAGTGGGAGGGGAAGGAGAGAGAAAAGCTTGAGGCAAGCGCGCGTATTGATTCCCGCGTGGCGTTATACGGTGAGGTGAGAAAGCTGCAACCGGAAGATTCGCGGCTGCCTCCAACGGGTCGCCGTTGAAAAATCCAAGGAAGGCCCTCAGACCGGCGAGCTGCTCGTCCCCGGAGCCGCAAGGTAGGTCCCTGGAACAAAGATACGTTCGGCGCGCGTTTAACGGCTCGCCCTCGCTTAGGCGACACGCGCGTCTTCTCCGAGGAAGAGAAAGCCGGAGGGTGGTGTGCCAACACGCCGAAGGGAGGGTCGAAGGCACTCTCGAAAAAGGGTATATCGATCGGCCGGTCCGGGACCATTGGCTCTGGCACGCCACCACGAAATCGTGCTTCGGTTCCATCGGCTCTCGTCTTTTTTTTCCTCTCCGTCTTCACCCTCCCTTTCCGGGTCTCTCGCTTTTTCTTTGTTGCGCCCACCCTTTCACCTGTTCCCAGCCGGGCCCTGCCTCGTTCTCTCCCTTATTTCGAACGTGCACCTCCCTTTTTCGACGATCCCTTTTTCTCGGGATCGCTTTTGCTTTTTAATCCTCCTCCCTTCCTATCTGGATACCTACTCCTACTGGGTTACGCCACGTTTATTCTTTTCCGACGATTCAACGTCCACTGACAGTCGTCGCTCGCCACAAACACAGCCCCGTCGTCGCACGTCGGTACGATCGGCGAGCAGAGGCTGTGTTGCTCCTCTGTCACTTGCCCCCTAGCCCTTAAACGCATCCCTTATCGATCCAAGCCCGGCCACGTCACCGTACTATTCGAAATCGTGCCCTACGTCGCGGCTCTACGACGTTCGCCTGTCCGGCTCCTCTTTCTTCGTCCTTTCCTACCGTTATGGATTATTTTTTTCGCACGGTCCTACTCTATTTTACGTCCTATGTAGCCAGGCGTGGTGGTAGCCTCGTATTTAAGCACCGAGTACTTTCAGCCCGCTTTCTTGCGTGATTTGCCAATATTGGCAACGTTCATGTCTGTTGAAATAACCAGACTGCGGATTTTTATGAATTTATACGAAATTCGAATGTGCAAGAACTTACAAAATGGAAACAATATGCAGGGATATAAAAAAGAAAGTAAAGTTTACGTTATAACATTCACAGAATAAAATTAATTCCTATTTAGGTTCAATTTTTCTAGGCACGTTCGCGAAGATTTTGCATAAAAATCCGCAGTCTAGTAATAACAGTTTCTGTCTATTCGGGTAGCGTTTTATAAACATTTTCTCGTAAATAATTCCTTTGGAAATAGAAGATATGTAGAAATATATCTACTGGGTTGTCCCAAAAGTTTCTACCGTTTCATTAATAAGTAATACGTACACAACATTTTATGTCACATTATTTAACACATTATTTAATAATGTTACATTATTAAATTGCGTACGATTCATTTTGCTCCATTACTGTTATACGATATTAACATCTAGTAAATTAGGGTGTCTATTTATATAAACACTGCCACAGAAAATAATTGCGTGCTAGTCACGAAAGAAACTTTGGAGACAACTTAACACTTACAAGCGAGCGATATTTTAATTTCGTTCGTTTCATTTGTTAATCGGAGAGAAAGTCGCAAACGCATCGCGGTATTTCCGTATATCTGGAATGCTGAGAAAGATTTAAATTATATATTAAAATTCATGACGCACACGTGCTTCTGTCTATTATTTATAAAATATGTCGTCCGTGTATATTTCCTAAATTTAATGATTCTATTGTACATGCACGAAATTCTAAAATGGAAATATCCAAGGAAATTTGTACATCTTTATCAGTAATAATTATTATGAAAGAAACATTAACAAAAATAACCCTTTAATAGAGCGCGTACAAGATTAATTTCATAGTACACGATTGTTATAATATAGATAACCAAATTATACGACTTTAACGACGCTTTAATTTCCCTTGGAATTTTTATTTATTAAATTCCTTATTTTTCAGCAATTTGACCGCTTGGAGGCAACAAATTTACAAAATAAATTTGAATAAAAAAAAAACTAGGAAAAAAATTCGACAATTTTTGAACCTGAATAAATGGCTAGACGTTTCTGAAACTTTCAAACAGAATCAAAAAAAAAAAGAAAAAGAAAAGAATATGAAAAAAGTACTTTCTTGAAAAATCTTAAAATTGTCACGGTCCTATAATTTCGTCGCCGGGTTATTAAATTAATTTAGAAAAAATAGGCTCCCTAATTAGAACAAAGTCGAGTAGAAAAGCGCGTAAATGGCTCGAGCGTGACTTTCCTCGGAAAGTAATGAACGTCGTTAAAGCACACGCTGGCCGCACACGTTTTTTTATTCGTCTCGAGGAAGCATAAAGTCGAAATTAAGAAGTTCGTTCGGCTGATTAGTTTTCTCCCGGTTGTCGCGTTCCTTTCGTGCGAGATGGAGGACGATGGAGCAAGTCTTGCGATCGAAGAAAATGCTGCGTCGAGGCGGGCCCGGCGTTTTTACTCCGTACGAAGTGGCTGGCCGACGCGGTGTGTGCGTGCGTCTGTTTGTAGTTTTTTTTTTCCGTGTCGTCGCTTTTGTGCTGCCTCATTGCCACAAATCCCTCCTTGTGTCTTTCCGGGATCGATGGAACGTGAAACAGAAAGCGGAATCAGAGAATAAAGTTCAGGGGACCAGTTGAATGCCGCGAATCTCGTTTACTCTTTTCCCCGCTCGCTAACAAGTGACAGTTTTGTTATTGATTGGGGCCGGGGGAGACTCTTCGCGGTACGTTCTGCCACCTTGGCGCTTGGAAAACGGTTTTACAGTCTTTTTTTTTTTTAACTGGAAAAGCGAACCGTGGCGACGTTAATTCCAGTTGTAGTAAATATTTATTATTTTTTTACTTTCATTTCTGAAATTTACGAGTATTTTATGCACACATCTAGAAATTTAAAAGTGGCTTCCTTTCAGAAATTTTTCCTTGGAAAATTGGACCGTGAATGTAATGCGTGTCTCTTCTAGCGACGAATATCTGTTATTTTTGTATTTGTATTTTTCAAATCGTTTGAATATTTGGGGAATACTCGGAGAAATCAAGAATTCTTTATTCATTCTACGGTATCGTAACTTTCAGAAATTCGAGAGATGGTCTTCTCTTTTTTGGAATTTTTCTATTTTGAAAATTGAGACCAATCCTTGTTACCGTCTTTGTTGATAAATATATTTACTAATATTCCCATACGACCTACATTTTTCGAATTTGAGAATGGTAGCACATTCTCCGGAAACTCGAAGAACGGCCTCCATTTTGGATTTTTTTTTTTTTTAAACTAAACCCACTAGTTATAATGTTGTCCCTTCTTGGCAAATATCGAAGAAAACTCAATGAAAAATGGAGTCAGGGATGCGAAGATTCGAACCCAGGTCCTCGGGATTATCAGTCAAGCACTTGTCTCACTGGACCATTCCGAACCCTTCTATATGTATTGTTCTACATTGCATTTTTAATAACGCCTCTTCTCTATTTTTTTTTTTTAAGAAAATATATTTTATAGAATTCCTATGAAATATATGTTTCATAATGTAAATATTTATTTTATAAATTATTGCATCGGATTACTGCATCGTAACGAGGGCATTTTTTATTCTGTTACAGAAGAGCGGGCAAGGGTGATCCGTGAACCAGAATGAGGGAAATCACCCGAGTCTGCTCGAGCAGGGTCCCGTCGGCCCTTCGTACGAGAAATGATTTTTAGAAGGTACTCGATCAAGCTTGCGAACCTCCGTTCTAATTTTCCTTCTCTATTTTCTGCTACCTTTCGTTCGCCTAGCTTTCAAGTGTGCCCAGAGAATTGCTTCGCCTCGAAATTACTCTGGAAATACGAATCACCTGCATGCAATCTTTCTTTCATATACATATACCAGAGTCTCCGTACTATTTAGGGTTAAGTTGGCCAACGTGTTTAGTTAGCAGGGGATTTTCGAAAGAAAACAGTGAGATAAACAGTATAAAACTAGAAGTATAAAGGCAGTAACGTAGTAAAATAGTAGGTTAGCGCCGGAAATTTATATTAAATCCATCATAACCTACAAAATTTGTATACGGTACCCTAACCTACACTGGGACGATTTCTTTGGAAAAATTCATAAACATCCCTGAAAGATCGACAAATAT